CTGTGATGTGACCCTCTCTCTCTCACACACACGCATGCACGCACGCACACACACACACACACAGACATACACGATGCGCAAAACTCCGCATTTGAACAGTCAATAGCAAATACTTAAACTAATAACAAAACATACTTACAATAGCTGATTCAGAAGTGCCAGATTGTCATAGCAAAGTCAGAATTACCTCCTCTCCTAGATTCACGAAACGGTCGTCCATAAAATGCATTGCTGTTCTGTTGTAAGTAATCTTAAAGATTCCTAAATGCATCTACTCTTGGAAGGCCAAATAAAGTGCTTTTGCTTTCGCCTAGAAATACGCAGCGTCTCCCTGACATGGCTGCTTCAACACTAACTGCGGTTACTGAAACCACGCCTTTTTTCTTTGTGTGCACATTTGGGCCGCATTATGCAAATATTTCCACATAGTGAGGTAGATATGTGGCAGAGTGGCAGAGTCTTAACTTTGATAAAGAATATCTCTTTGGTTTTGAGACTTTAGTCTTTGCAACTTCAGGGATCTTATCTGTGCACAATCAGCTTGTAACACTCCAAAGAGAAAGGAAAACTTGAAATCGCATCAGTTGACCCCTTTAAGTTAGATACACAAGTATGTCCAACTTTATTATTTATTTGTTGCTTAAAGGTTGAAATAAAAGCAAAAAGTACATACTTGACTCCCTCAGACCCCTGTGAATGCACTCGTATATGGTCTTGGCATCCTCGTAGAAATGGCTCAAGAGTGGGCCTCCATTCAAAACCGCTCCTCGACGAGCAAATTCTCCACCCTGATCGACAAAAACCAAATGCAAAGTTTTATATCAAATCTCCGACTGCAACTAGACAGACTTTGAGTTCATCTTAATGTAGTATAGTCTTACCGGCAGCTCTACTGACTGCATGCGCAGGTCACAGGGTGGTTTGAGGGCTTTGGGTCTGGTGGCGAACCAGTACGCTGTGACGGCGGTGAACGCGCCCATGCCGAGGAGGGTGTTTGTGGAGAGGCTGCGGAAATAGTCCCTCACCTCGGACAGCTCAGGGATTCGCAGCTGCTTCAACAGCTCGTGTGCCTGCATGACTACAGCGAACTCAATCTGTGGAGGACAACAGGGGTTATATTAAACCCTACTGCGCTTATACCCTAGCGCAGGGGGAAAAAATACTTTGATATTACCATATTTATGTGTAATGGAATACCAATGAACTTCAAAAAAAATTTTTCATTGATAAGCAGAGCTGACGGTACCTGTTTTCTGTTTTTTGAACCAAAACATGTTTATGGTCCAATTAAAAGCTTAAAGGGGTCCTATTATGCTCTTTTACAACGTCTTTTACAAAGTCTAGATTTAGTTTTGGGGGTGTACTAGAACCGGCTCTCATACTAGGTTGTTTGAAAAACACATTATTTTTCACATATTTTACATTATTACAACACCTCTCTCCCCAGTCTGGCATGAACGGCTCGAATAGTTCCTGTATTAAATGAAGGCCCGCCTTCTGAAATATGAAATGAGCTGTGATTGGTTAGCTGGGCCAGTGTGTGCTGTGATTGGTTGCACTCGGCACCTGGTCGGGAAATGTCATGCCCCTTACCATAGCGGACTGCTGCGAGCTTCTGTGTAAATATTGTGTCAAAATCAAATCAATTTGAGCGTGATTTAAACCCGGATGATTGTAACCACTCTAAGTTCGTCTGCCTTGGGAAAGCTAGCGTGTCTCCGACATAGTGATAACACTCGTTGCCTTCTCTAGTGCAGCTCAACCAGGTCTCGTCCCATTCGTCGATATTTGTGATATCACAAATCCCGGAAAATATGCGTTGTAGTCCAAACGAGTCGTTCGTTGTAGTTTTTGAAAAGTGATTTCTGTTAAATAAAATATCTCCTTTTGAAGTGGACTTTGAGCTTTGTAACTTTGCAGATCTTTTTTATGCTCAATCAGCAACATTACTGACTAACTAAAGTTGAAAAAGTGAAAAAGCATAATAGGACCCCTTTAATTTTCTTTATGGGAAATATTTTTTTCTTTTTAATTTTGGGATGAAAAATCAAAAGAAATATGAAATATAAGTTCAATCACTAAGACAATGTGAAAAGTAAAATGTTTTTGTCTGGCAGACAACTTGCTTATTGTCCTATAAAATCTGTTTTTATTGGCACATTATTGTGCTGTAAAATCCTGTCAAGTGTTTCGTAATGCTGTGGAAATCACTTTGATTAAATCTTATCAATCAATTGGTAACCAAAGTGAACTGTGACACATTATCTTTGCAGGGAAACAGTCAGTGATGAAGAGTCATAGTTTAACTGATTAAACTATCAGATGTTCTGGAAGGTTATCTTCATCTACTCCACCTGTAATTCTGCTAACATCGGGCTTTGCTTTTACCTGAGAACAAACCTTCACAGCAACCAACACTTCACTAACATGTCATTTAACTTATATTTTACAAAACCAGCACCAACAGCTATACCTAGTGTTCACTAGATATTTTGCGACATTATTTTCATGAAATCACATTTCCCCCAAATTACCCCAAATACAGAAACACACACACACACACACAAAAAAACCTCATTATTTTTCTTATTAAACTCTGCATTTAGTGAAATTTTGTTCAACAGATACTGGGATGTATACTTGCTATTGTACTTTTTTAAAATGTATTTTATAATTCACCTTTTACTTTCACATTACAGAATTGTCATAAAAAAGACACAAAAAAAACGTTAACGATAAACATAAAAAAATAACCATCATTTTTTTGCTATTGTACTTTTTTTAAATGTATTTTATAATTCACCTTTTACTTTCACATTACAGAATTGTCATAAAAAAGACAAAAAAAAAACGTTAACGATAAACATTAAAAAATAACCATCATTTTCTTCATGCAATTTTTTTTCAGTTGATTTTGATGAAATATGACCTAGACCTATGATTTTTGAGTGATTTCTCGCAGTTTACTATAAAAACGTTTTTTTCGTAATTGTAAATAAAACAAATATTACTAGAATACTTTTTACAAGAAAATACTTTCAGACTTTCTACTTCAAAATTTCACATTTAATTCAATGTGTTACTTGCTTTTGTAATTATTCCGGAAATTTACTAGCAAGTTCAGTGAAAACTGTTTGTGCGACAATTTTTTTTCTGTGCACACTTTAAAACAATGATTTTTCAATGTTGTAAATAAAACCGAATACTGGATTTAGTTTTACAAGAAAACACTGCTTCGAATTTCAATTTCACATACTTGCCATTTGTTAGTAATTATATGAAATTTACTACCAAATTCTGAGTGAAAAGTGTTTCAAAGTCCTACAGTCCACTGATCAATGTTTTTAGTTAAAAAAGAACGATTTTTATTTGATCAGTTTATCACAGAAACTGAGGATTTGAATATTCAACAGGTCCAACTAAACATTATAATCATACTCAAATTAACTATATGAACTACAAGTTTCATTTGCAACAAGCTATCATTAGGGCCGTGAGTCACCGTCAGTTATGATTCATGTTAAACCTTGCAAGGACGCGTTACCCCTTTAACCTCTCACCCACTTCTATTCTTACAGCCCCAGGGCAGATCATTCTAAGAAACTGCTTTCACTTAGTGAATAAAAACAGACATAGCATGAAACCCTTGTAAACTCATGCATGACTGCATACTGTACAAACAACACAAAGTGTTAAATCCTGTAGAGACTTGGAGTTAAAATACTATCAACCATTCAATATCCTCATTCATTCAGAATTAAACAGCAAACACTAAACTCTCTGCATTCTGCCAAAAGCAATTGTACTATAAAATTAGTTTCTTCAACTGTACACGTCTTGCTTGAAAACCCGTCCTTCCTCATGGTGCTGACAGCAAAGTCAAACCATCTCAATCATTAGGCAAGAACTCAACATGACCAACACAAAACACACACACTTCACCTGAGACTAGAAGAATGAGGTACGTTCAAACAAACGTGGGTGCCGATGTGCTTCCCCCACCCACAGAATCACGCCAACAGGAAGGTGAAATGACCAGGTGAAGGTAAAAACAGTTCAGTCTAAACAACTACGGGTTGAGTTTATGTGCAACCGCAGGTCAGACCCCTGCCGACCCCTTCCTGCTCCTTATTGGACACACACACACTTAGAACCTGCTGTGTCAGCCAATCACAGAGCAGGAAGTCAAACAAGCAACCAACCAATAGTTTAAGTCCTAAAATAACACAACTGACTAGATATGATTGTTACTGTGTCGATACTCAACAAGAACTATATTCTGACTAAATCACACTGATGTTCTGTGATAAAAGTACTATGACTAGCTGACCGACATGGGTTTTTTATTAGTCAAATGCTTCGAAATACTGCTTGTAGTCAGAACTTTTTTTTTAGCAAGGATGCATTATGTTGATCAAAAGTGATATTAAAGACATTTAAAATGTTACAAAAGCTTTCTATTTCAAATAAATGCTGTTCTTTTAAACTTTCTATTCATCAAAGAATCCTGAAAAATAAAATGTATCACGGTTTTCACAAAAATATGAAGCAGCACAACTGTTTTCAACATTGATAATAATAAGAAATGTTTCTTGAGCAGCAAATCATCATATGTGACCCTGGACCACAAAACCTGTCGTAAGTCGCTGGGGTATATTTGTAGCAATAGCCAAAAATACATTGTATGGGTCAAAATTATAGATTTTTATTTTATGCCAAAAATCATTAGGACATTAAGAAAAGATCATGTTCCATGAAGATATTTTGTAAATTTCCTACCGTAATTATATATCAAAACTTGATTTTTGATAAGTAATATGCATTGCTAAGAACTTCATTTGGACAAATTTAAAGGCGATTTTCTCAATATTTAGATTTTTTTGCACCCTCAAATTCCAGATTTTCAAATAGTTGTATCTCGGTCAAATATCCCAACAAACCATACATCAATGGAAAGCTTATTTATTCAGCTTTCGGATGATGTATAAATCTCAATTTCGTAAAATTGACCCTTATGACTGGTTTTGTGGTCCAGGGTCACATATTAGAATTATTTCCGAAGGATCATGTGACACTAAAGACTGGAGTAATGATGCTGAAAATTCAGCTTTACATCACAGGAGTAAATTACATTTTAAAATATATTCAAACAGAAATAATTTACTTGAAATTGTAATAATATTTCACAATATTAGTGTTTTTACTGTAGCCTATTTTTAATAAAATAAATGCAGCCTTGGTGAGCAGAAAAGACTTCTTAAAAAAAAAAAAAAAGCACATTACAAATCTTTGACCCCAAATTTAAACAAAATTTTATGCCTAGTTTATATATCGGTCAATCACTACCTACAATATCACACTTCTGTTTATTTATCAAGGATATCCACATCATCTCTCTGGGTTTGCTGTCGATCCGTCAAAAGGAGCTGATAAACATAAACACTTCGTCTCATTCCACTGGTGTACAAACTTTCCAGGGCAAAGGTGACGTGACCACGGCAATGTCCTTTACACACTTCCTGTGACGGGGGCGGGCTGAGACCAATGACAGACCCTCAGGCCAGTCACCCGATGGGCGCAGACACAACCCCCTCCCAAAGCAGGGCTGCTATTTAAAAACAGTGGCACAACAAATGGAAAACAGTGGCATGAGTGGAACAGATCCAGAAATATTAAAGGCATGCGATTTATGACGAGAGGCCAGCGGACATATAACATCCGCATGAGACTCGAGAACAAGACAGCTTTCCACTGATTTGAAGTGTAAACTTTAGTGCAATGTGAATTTAGTCACTTAAAAAATATATATATAGCAAATCATTTTGCAGAAATATTTCTATTTTCATGCCATTTCCAACAAAATTCTCACTACCGTAATATACCTCTTTTGGGTTCCCATTGTTTTTTTTACTGGTGATTCATTATAAATTAGATAATAATTTTTACTAAACATACATTTTATCAGCATAAAGGCCTGTTCACACCAAGGACAATAACTAAAAAGATAACGATAAAGATATAATTCTAAAAATAGTTCTCAATTTTAAAGAATAGCAGAGTCCACACCACAGCTATAACGATAAAAGCACAGAGAAACAATATCATTGGAATCCCTTTCAGAAAGATTTTTTCCAACTGATGAACAATAAAAACATTGACAGCCAATCAGAATTAATCCTGCTATAACGAGCTCGAAAATTTAAAGCGGCAGACAAGTGTGCGCTTGGAATAAACAGACGATATCGTCCGCTGGTGTGGACGCTAATATAGTTATCTTTATAGTTATCGTTCTTGGTGTGAACGGGCCTTAAAGGCAGTAGAGCAAATACTACCATTTCATACCCTTTTGTTCAAAAGTCAAAGAGTTTTTGAAAGAAAACATCAAGGCAGCATTTATTTGATCAAAAATACAGTAAAACAGTAATATTGTGAAATATTATTACAATTTAAAACAACTGTTTTCTATGTGAATATATTGTAAAATGTAATTTATTTCTGTGATGCAAAGCTGAATTTTCAGCATCTTTAATCATTAGTCTTCAGTGTCACACGATCCTACAGAAATCATTCTAATTTGCTGATTTGCTGCTCAAGAAACATTTCTGATTACTATCAATGTTGAAAAGAGTTGTGCTGATTAATAATTATGTGGAATTTTATTTTAGGATTCATCTTTGATGAATAGAAAGTTTAAAAGAACAGCATTTTTTAAATAGAAATCTTTTGTAACATTATAAATGTCTTTATGCACTTTTGATCAATTTAATGCATCCTTGCTAAATAAAAGTATACATTTCTTAAAGGGGTCATATGATGCTATTTTAAAGATCATTATTTTGTGTCTTTGGTGTAACAGAATATGCTGACATGCTTTAATGTTCAAAAAACACATTATTTTTCAAATACTGTACATTATTGTAGGTCCTCTATGCCCCGCCTCTCTCAAACACGTCGGCGGCGTTATGCACATCTTCCCACATCGTGACGTAGACATGTTGGGGGCGTGTTAGAACGAGCCGTTTTAGGTAGGTGTGGTTAACTCTTAACTTTTATAAAGAATATCTCTTTGGATTTGAGACTTTAGTCTTTGCAACTTTACAGATCTTCTTTATGCACCAAGAGCTTGTAACACTCCAAAGAGAAAGGAAAAATTGAAATCGCATCATATGACCCCTTTAAAAAAAACATATACTGACTCCAAACTTTTAAACAATACTATATTTAAAGACTTTAAATATTAAATAATGTGCTTAATTGTTATGAAAATAAGGTAGTGCAAAAAAATGGTCTTAAAATAGGCTTATATTTTTATGCAAAGCACAATTTCTTAGGCTTTATGGTGAAATATGGCCAAGACAAGTTCTTGAGATTCACTCTAGATCTTGTTTTGTTCAGTCATTCATAAGGAAGGTTTACATAATTTCAAAACCCACACGACAGACAAGATTGCATCACATGACCTGACAAACACTTAATGACAAGTTCCAAAGAGACTGAACAAACAGAAATGAGCCAGGAAGCGCTGTACTTACCTCAGCAATGACCATCAATAAATATTGACCAATCAATCAGCATGTTTCGTTCTATCCATGATACAGAACACATAACTAAAAACCAGTCAAACTGAGAAGTGGGACGTTTAAGTATCTAAAATATCACCTAGCTGTGTGCTGCAGCTATTGCATAATCATAACATTAGACAATCATGTTGCATCATGGGTCTCCAGATCTTATTTACAGCTTGAGACTATAATAAACGCAATAAACCAGATTAAATCAGACAGGCAGTATCAGTCTGACCTTGTGATATCTATCACATGTCTCTGACCGGGACAAAGGTTGAGTTTTACTCTACTTACGAGTTGACAAAATATACACTGCCATCTCGCTTATAAATTCTTGAAAGATATGCGACCTTCATATAAAATGCATGAATGAATACAACAATCAACGGCATACATTATTAATAAAGATGAACAGGTGTGAGCTACAGGCACCCATTCACACGCTCAGACGGCAGACGCCCATGACCTTTTGTCCTGCTTACCAGGCGTCCGTTTCCAAACCCTTAGTTTCCACTATTCCTGTTCATTAGCAGCACAATGACCACACCAAACAAGCTCTGCAAGAATACCAAAGTGCATATGAATCACAATGTCTTAAACCAAAATACAACCACCCATCAACACAACCACAATGAGGGCAAGAGATGATCTACAATCATACTGTACACTACGGCTTCACAATAGTGGCAAATCTGAAATCGCATGAAACTGCATGCATTGTTTCCCACCATGAAAACCTATTGTTTAATACTAAACCTTTAATTTATGCACACAGGTGATTTCCCCAGGTAGGAGGGATGCTGGGAATGAAAACAATAAACAGAAACATGGCTGTTGCCATACAACAAGGTCAAAAGGGACACGATGGATCTCTTGCAAGACAACATTCAGTAACAACCACAATACTGTAAAACAGATTAATGCTCAATTTCTAGGATGACAATCAACTTCTATAACAGTAGTTTTGCTAAGCCACATGATGAATGCATTTAGAGGTCAGCAATTTAAATTAAGAACTTCAGTCTCAGTTTGTAGTCATACACATATGACTAATGATTTTCTGTCTCTAATTCACAAACCAAGAGCAGCTTTAATTATTAAACACAGAGGCTCTTTACAAAACACATGCTGATTTAAAATAAAGGTTGGCACGTCACACAATGTGCATTTATTAAATTATGAAAATACATATCCAAACAACAACAGCTAAAGACGAAACTGGAACAAAGAGGAGTTCATAGTGTCATATTTCAGTTCCATACACACACATGCTCTTCTGCTGTCATCCATACATCAATGACACGTCGCGATGTGGCAAAACAATAAAACAGTTGCTATTATGCTACTATACAATGCATTTCATTACTCAATAAAGAATAAAATACATCAGGAACTGCGAATGACCTTTAAACTGACTTACTACTGACCTGTATGAGACCGAACTCTTCTGACGGCCAGCGTTTACTACTTTCTCCGTTGTGTTTGGTCGCCAAAATCTCCACCAATCAGAGGCGCCCTACGAATG